TCTCTTCCTGATGATCAGCTGTTCCAATGATCAACTGTGCTGGGATCCCCCTTGCTGTCTTACTGCTTCGCCCAGGGGGGCTTCCCTGAGGCCCAGGAGACAAAAAGGGTGTGTGTGTGTGTGTGTGTGTGCTGCGTGGTCTCCCCGTGCTCCGTTTTTGCCTCCTGGGCCTCAGGGAAGCCTCCTGGGAGCAAAAATGGCCTCCCAGGAGCCTTCCCTGAGGCCCAGGAGGCCAAAAAAACTGAGCACCCGTGTGTGTGTGTGTGTGTGTCTGCAAAAAAAGGCCACGCCCACCCAGTCACACGGCCACGCCCCACCTAGCCATGCCCACAGAACAGGTAGTAAAACTATTTGCATCCCACCCCTGCTGCAATTCCTCAAAGAATTTCCACACCAGCGGAACCTACACGTTCCCACTCAGAGAAGAGTAATGGTAAGAGAGGAGGAGAGGGAACCAATTGACCTGCTGGGAAAGTGAGCAAGGATTTGGCTCTCCTTATGGAGGGAAATTCGGGGTTTGTGCACACACAAAGCAACAATTCTTACCATCAGCATCTTTAGATCTGCCCGTTCAGCAGGGTTTTTAATTAAGCTGCGGGGGGGAAAAGAAGAAGAAGAAGAAGGTTGGTCAATTACGATCACTGCAAAATATGCGCACGCATATACTCCTTGGGGGACCCAACCCCAGGCTTTGGGGGATGCCAGAGGCACAAAGCTCTCCTCGGCTGTCCTAACCCAAGTCCGTCCACATGGCTCAGTCATGAACAAGGTCATGCCAAGAGCACAGTTAGTCCTCAGTTTACAACAGTTCGTTTTTAGCAATCGTTCAAAGTCACGATGGCACTGGAAAAAGGGGACTTGCGGCTGTTTATTTCACACTTCCGACAAGCGAAGTCAAGGGGGAAGCCAGGTTCACTTAGCAACCGTGTTACCAGTTTAAAAACTGCAGCGATTCCCTTAACAAACGTGGCAAAAATAGTAAAAATGGGGCAAAACTCACTTAATAAACTTCTCATTTAGCAACATCAATTTTGGGCTCCGCCGTGGCTGTAAGTCGAGGACTACCTGTATGTGACTCCTTGAAGTGACCTTTCTAGCTGGAGGTAGTCTTCGACTTACAACAAAATTGTAATTCTCTCGTTCAAAATTCATTTAGTGACCATCTGAAGTTACTATGGCACCGAAGGAAATGACCTAGGACCATTTTTTACTGTTGCAGCATCCGCGTGGTCACGTGACCAAAATTCAGAAGCTTGGCGGCTGACTCCTATTTATTTGTGTCCTTGAGGGGGGGGGAGTCATGTGATCCCCTTTTGCGACTTTCTAACAAGCAGCGTCAATGGGGATGCCAGATCCGCTTAACCGCCGTGTCACTAACTTAACAATGGCAGCGATTCGTTTTAACAACCTTGGCAAGAAAGGTCGTAAAATGGGGCAAAATTCACTCAACAGGTATCTCGCTTAGCAACAAAAATCTGGTTCTCCCTTGTCATCGTAAGCCGAGGACTACCTGTACAGAGAAGCCCATGGAGAGAGGAACTGACAGCTTTGCCGGACTGCATTCAGAAGTTACGCCTTTTCTAATCTGATGAAAATAATCTGTCGGTGTCGAAGAGCCCTGGCACTTAGAACTTAGAATAACTTTATTGTCCCTTTGAATGTACAATAATCGGCGTACATTAAAAATGAAATTTTCACTTCTTATCTTCCTCCTGCACTTTCTTTTCTGGTTGAGGGCTTCTTTGAGGTGGCCATTTCTGACCACCGCTCCTACCGCCTTCGGGAAAGGGAGTTTGACCAGCTGAGGAGGAGAGATGCGGCTCTCCTCGACCCTGCTGGCGATCTCCCCACTCTTTACCACCTCTACGGGGGTGGCTTAGCCCCGAAGCCAGCTGGCTCGAGGCGCTCCAGCAGCGAGCCCAGGCAGAAACCGCGCACGATCGCGGATTCCTGCCTGCCGCCGAAGCCCTGCAAACCGTAAGTCACCATACCAAGGGTCTCCGTTTCCAATATACACTACATGAACATGACAAAATAAATAAATACAAAATTATGCACATACCCACACATATTCTATGACCCGGGGAAACAATACAGTCTAATTTGGATGTCTACATGTACATGGTGAGAGAAATGAATCTTGCAATTTACCAGAAGGATGGCCTAGGGAACAAAGCTGCTAGTCCTGCTAGAATTACTTTGAAACCTCCTCCCAGAGGGGAGCAATAGAAACAAGACTGTAAAGTGGGTATGTGGGATCTCTGACAATGTTGGGGCGCTAAGCACCTAGCACTTATAAGCAGTATCTTGAATAACGAGAAGTGAGCTTCCTATGATCTCCACTGTCCTTACCACTCTCTGTATGGACTTTCTATCTGAGGCACTGCTGCCACCAAACCAAACAGGGATGCTCAAGGTCCCCATTTGTAGGCCTGGCACCCAAAAGGGAGAATCCCTCATCCTGAGCCAGCAAGTTTCCAAGTGATACATTTACACAGACTGCCGGGCCCCTAAATGCCAAGTTTTTATATTTCCCACTGATAAGTGCAAGACGTCTTACCATTTATTTACAAACTCCTGGAATTCTTGGGTGAAAACCCCAGTCGGCAGTTTTGGAGGTGGCTGAAATACACAGGGGGAAAAAAAAATTAAGTTGAGGAGGTTTGGGAAAAGCCACTTCAGTTTAGGAAACAGCCTTCAACCAATGGACTGACTTAATGACAGTGGCATTTGCTTAATGACCACTGCAAAAAACCACAGTGACTCAGGACTGTAACAGACAGGCTCCATTATGGTCATAAGTTGAAGTCTTTCCTGTATGTTTGGAGAGATTTGAACACATTTATGTACAAGGATGCAATCCCAATAAACAGGTCCTTAGCTCATTCTAACATCATCAAGCCTTGGGAGGGAGTAAGCATTAAGGGATGAAAACTGATGATGATACCTAGTTGGGCCATGAAACGTCTGTAAGACAACAACTAAGCTCAGAGAGCACCAAGGACCCCCACAGCTCAACCCTAAGCTACAAATAATCTCTTCTATTTGGATAAAAGCTCCTGGTCCCCACTGGTCAAGAAGGAAAGCCACAAATGATAGGGATGGAGAAAACTTCAGCATGGTTTGGGGCCTAGGCTCTGAAGTCCCCTTGTTCTTCCAAATCTGACAACGCTCCTCATTGGTTCATCATTCAAGATCCCAAAGAACCTGGCATATTAATAAACTAGCAGCAAAAGTCCTCTTTCCCAAAGTGGCCTCTCCACAGAATGGGATCAGGGGTGGGTGGGCCATTCTCTCTCTCTGTGCTGAACGGATATAGTCCCAAGGGAGCCACACAGTTTCCAGGGACTCAGTCATGTTGCTTTCTTACTTCCGATGTATATTTATTTCCATTTGCACCCTCTTCATTCTGTTTCTGTCTCCGTGAAGCCCAAACAGAACCCATCAACCCTGTGACCCTCCCTTTCTATCTCTCGTTGGTCCACAACAAGAGAATATTCCCTGGTTTCCTTCCTCCTTTCAATTTAAAAGGCAAGACCGTGGACATAAATCTTCATCTTCATTCATTCTTCATTCCCATCTTCGTTCATTCTTTCCCATCTTCATTCTTTCCCAGAATTCTTTCCCATCTTCATTCATTCTTTCTTCCTTTCTCTGTATTTTCACTGAGACTGAAAACGTACAGGCATGCGATTTGAGCTGTTCCCATTTTACTAGTGGCACCTTATTTTTACACGCAATTAGACATGAACGAAGGGACGCACGCGGTGGCTCAGCTTGTCGATCGGAAAGGTCGGCAGTTTGGTGGTTCGAATCCCTAGCGCCGCGTCAAGGAGTGAGCTCCCGTTACTTGTTCCAGCTTATGCCAACCTAGCAGTTCGAAAGCAGGTAAAAAAAAAAATGCAAGGGACCACTTTAGTGGGAAGGTAACAGCGTTTTGTGCGCCTTCGGCATTTAGTCATGCCGGCCACATGACCATGGAGACGTCTCTGGACAGCGCTGGCTCTTCGGCTTTGTAACAGAGATGAGCACCGCCCCCTAGAGCTGGAAACGACTAGCACATATGTGCGAGGGGAACCTTTATCTTTACTTTTAGACATGAATGACACTGTGGTGGAGGACAGATTAGACCAGTAGTCCCCAACCTTTCTAGCTGGAGGAGAGGGGATGGTTCCATGCGAGTGGCAGGTGCCCACACTCGTGGGTGCGACTCCGTTTACACAAGCAGGTGCGCGCACATCATGCGCGCAAATAAGAGCCTCGCACGTGAGCACCTGCCGCTTGTGTAAATGGAGCTGCATTCGCGAGTGCTGGCTGGCCATGTAAATGGAGCTGCACATGCGTACGTGCTGGCCTGCTGCTGGTGCAGCTCGGTTCAGAATAGGCTGCGGCCCAGGATTGGGCTGTGGCCTGAGGGGTTGGGGACCCCAGGATTAGAGACTTCTAACCTGTGGACACAATGAAGTGGGGTAACAGACAAAGCTTAAACTGGTTGGGAGCCTTTATTGGTGAAATAGGTATTGACAGAAAAAGGGAAGAGAAGGGTCGCAACGCAGAGCAGGCTGGGGCACCCATCAATCCTGAAGCTGGCTTGGCCGAAGCCACCTTGGAGCCTCAGGGCTGCCACAATGGAGCTGAGGGTTAGGGAGAGAGAAGATTGGAGATAGCTGGGGTTGTGTAGTCAAAATAAAATACTTTCTCCTGGGAACCAAGGACGTTCCCACACCTGACCGGAGGAAGGAGGAGTGATTGTCAACCAGATCTGTGGATGCTGCCATGATTGGGCTATGTGACTTGATTATTTGGCTTTGAGGGAAAACCTTTTACTTTTCATTAGGTGAAAACCAAGGGGCCCCTCAGAGTTTGGTTTTCACCAGATATATGCCAATATGATATTTCCAATAAAGCTATTCTTTGAGGAAATCTCCTGCCTCAGAGGTTTTGCTTGCAACGGGTCTAGTACAGAGGTCTCCAAAGTTGGCCACTTTAAGACTTGTGGACTTCAACTCCCAGAATTCTCCAGCCAGCATAGCTGGGAGTTGAAGTCCACAAGTCTTAAAGTGGCCAACTTTGGGAAGCCCTGGTCTAGTACTTGGAACCCTGGCATAAAACCAATTCTCTGAGGCAAGAGTACCCTGACAGCACCTGGCCCCGAAACACAAAAAGCCAGATATTCCACCAGGTGTTTAATCCGCCCACCATACCGTTTTAGTCCCACGCCTCCAGGGACATGATTTACAAGGCATGAATGCAAACGGACCGGCCCGCAGTTAAAAAGAGAGTCAAAAACGCCTTCTCTCGGCCACTCACCTCATTCACAATGTAGTCAAGCAATTCAAAAATGGCCATGGCGGGGCGGCTGTCCATCCCAAGACCTGCAGGGTTCAAAAGAGCAAAGGTGTGTGTGGGGGGGTGAAAAACGGCATGCGGAGAACACGCGCCAAGAAAGCGTGTCCATCTTCAAGAAACCCTGGGAGAGCACGATCCAACACCAACCGGGAGCTTGGCTGGTTGGCCTTGGAACCTGAAAGGTATGCAGAAAGCAGCAGCAGCAACAGGCTTCTCAGAGACAGGCAGACCTTGACTTAACGACCATAACGGATCCCAACACTTATCTTGTTAATGGAGACATTTCCTAAGCATGTTTTGCCCCATTTTACGACTTTTTCTTGCCACGGTGGTTAAGTGAATCACTGCAGTTGACAAGCCAGGAGCCCGGTTGTTAAATGAATCTGGCTTCCCCATTGACTTGGCTTGTCGGAAGGTCGCAAAAGTGGATCTCGTGTGACCATGGGACACAGCAACGGTCATAAGTATGAACCAGTTGGCAAGCGTCTGAATTTTGATCGTATGAACATGGTCGTCACTTTTTTTCCAGTGCCATTGTAACTTTCAATGGTCACTAAATGAACTGTTTTAAGTCGAGGACGACCTGCAGTCAGTCCCAGCTTCTACTATGTAGCTTAGGAGTTAATATGAGAGGGTTGGGGAGACATAGGAGAGAAGGCTGGGCTGAAGCAGCCATCTGTGTCCCGTCTGTGATCCACCTTATTTGTCTTAAATAATGACCTTGCCTGGTGACTTTTAGCCTAAAAGGTAGGATAATAAGAACAAAACTAAGTTTACTGAGACCCACGATATTCCTTTTTTGTTTTATTTTTATTGATTTACCCCACCATTCTTATTTTTGATAAATAATTCAAAAGCGGTGAGCCTCCCTTCCTCCTCCCATGTCCCACCACAATAACGACCTTGTGAGGTGGGTTGGGCTGAGAGAGAGAGAGATGACTGGCTCAAAGTCATGCAGCTGGTTTTCTTGCCTAACTCAGGACTAGAACTCACCGTCTCCTTTTGTCACACCCAGCCAGCTTTTGTACCTGACAGGACTAGATGCTTGGCCCAAACTCATCCGGCCTGCTTTCCTACATAAGGTGGGACTAGAACTCCCCCTCCCCTGGTTTCTAGCCTGGTGTCTTCATCACTAGATAAAAGACAAGCTGTATAGTCCTGAACATCTTTATCTATGGGAAAAAGCACGAGTGAAAGTGGCTCTCTGCCACCAAGAAGTCTTCTCCTTTCCATTCTGGATACTGAATATTTTTATCCACTGATTCCTTGAGTTTGGGGATCTTTGGGGCTTGAAAACCTCGTCCTTTCATTCTCCCAAATCTTCATCACGTTGACAAGCAACATCTTGCTGCAATATCATCCCCCCACCTATTTGCCTCAGGATGTGCCATGTTCAACTTTAGCCCTGCCAGTCAGCAACAACTCGTGCCAGCTAGGCATAGCTTAGCTGCAGTCCAATGTATCTGGAGGGCATCGCATCAAGGAGGGTGGCTGAGCCGCCTTGAAAAGAAGCTCACTGCGGATTTCCCAGCCAGCTTGTCTCATTGCAAAGGATACTTGATGCAAACTGGCGAGTCGAGGAGAGTAAAAAAAAAAACATGTAAAAAATCAGCAAAGTACAATTGAGCCCAAAACATATGTTGTTAAGTGAGAAATTTGTTAAGTGTGTTTTGGCCCATTTTACGACCTTTCTTGCCACGTATGTTAAGGGAACCACTGCAGTTGTTAAGTTAGTAACATGGTTGTTAAGTGAATCTGGCTTCCCCATTGACTTTGCTTGTCAGAAGGTCAGAAAAGGGGATTAATTGCATGATCATGGGACACTACAACCATCATCAATAGAAGCCGGTTGTCCAGCATCCGAATGTCAATCATCTGACCGTGGGGAGTTTGGCAACGGTCATGAGTGTGAGAAATGGTCATCAGTCACTTTTTTCAGTGCCGTCGAACCTTCAAATGGTCACTAAATGAACTGTTGTAAATTGAGGAGTACAGGTAGTCCTCGACTTACAAACCATCTATTTAGTGACTTGTTTAAAGTTACAACGGTACTGAAAAATTGACTGAGGACCATTTTTCACGCTTTACGACCTTTGAAGCATCGTCATGACCACATGAACAAAATTCTTGACAACTGGCATGTACTTACGACAGTTGCAGTGTCCCCGGGATGACGCGATTCCCCTTTTGAGTCCTGCTGACAAGCAAAGTCAACGGGGAAGACAGATTCACTTAACAGCCATGGCAAGAAAGGTCCTATTTTGGGGTCAATTGAAGTTGTACGTTGAAGGCCACCTGCAACTTGTCATTCTTGAAAGTGAGTAATACTGAATTTCTGTAACTGAATAGCCTATGAGTATTTATTTAATTCTGCTGGTGCTGTTCTTTCATGCCTGATGCTTGGGAATGAAAGCCAGCTGAGTGACCTTGGGCCAATCACCAGGAGCCTGTGAGTTCTAGTCCCGCCTTAGGCATGAAAGCTAGCTGGGTGACCTTGGGCGAATCACCAGGAGCCTGTGAGTTCTAGTCCCGCCTTAGGCATGAAAGCCAGCTGGGTGACCTTAGGCCAATCACCAGGAGCCTGTGAGTTCTAGTCCTGCCTTAGGAATGAAAGCCAGCTGGGTGATTTTGGGCCAATCACCACAAGCCTTGAGTTCTATTCACACCTAATGTGAATAGAAAGCCAGCTGGGTAACTTTGGCCCAGTCAATCTCTCTCAGCCTACTATGTCAAGCTGGTTGGTCAATTCCTTTCATAACCAGTGGATCAACACTCTTTGGAAAATGCTAGGAAGAAGAATGAACCACAGTCCAGCTGTGAATGATTATGCTACCTTCCGACATTTAAAAAAAAGTGATATAATTTCAACTTCAGCCAGCAACTTCCCAGGAATGAACTCTTACCACTAACAGGACGTCCTGGGGGCTTGGGTCGCGGAGAGATGCTGTGGGTCTCCCCTTCAGCCCCATCGACTATGGGACGACCAAAGATCACTTCCAGTTCCTTGCCATCGGGCGGCGGGATGGGGTACCGTCCGATTGACAGCTCCACCAGGGAGAGGCCCATGCTCCAGATGTCCGACTGAACGGAATAATGAGTGCCTTGTAGACGTTCAGGCTGCAAGCAACAGCAACAGAGGTGGGTGAGTGCCCATCCTGCAAAAACACACCTGCCAATCCCAGTGGCTCCTTCAACATCCAGGTGTCTGCGGGTACACACCTGTGTCAGAAATTTATGGCAAGCCAGCAAAGAGGTTTTCCCTGTCTGGATAGATGCTCAGTTAATTACCAGAGGAGATCTTCAGAAGCCAGGCTAAGAGAGTTATAATAATCTACCTAGGGAACTTTTGCTTACTGGGTCGTATGCAAATAAATTTTAAAAAGCAGAAAATACAGTTGTGCAGTTAACAGAGAACATAAGGTACCTTCCTTTGGCTGCAGTTGCAAAAAGCTGTGCTACCTTTGTTGTCACAACAGACTGGGAACTGAAACCACTGACACTTAATGCTATGATTGATGATTTAATTTATAGGATGCATCAGCTCCTAAATGACTTGCTTTTGCTTCCTAGGTTTTGAACGAAAAACTCTTGTTTTAAACCATCTTTTAAACCCAGACTGGATGGAGGGGGCAAACAGCTGATAGGTTGATGACTTCCCAGAAAGACAGATTTATATTAATATAAAATAGCAACGTACTTTTTTTTAAAGTGCTGGAATCAAAATTAATATTTCAACTATCGCTATCTTGATACCACATCGGCTTTAATACCTGCCTAGCTAGTAATCTAGTTGTTACACAACTTCCCTTGACAAACACACCAGTCCAGTTAGGCATAGGATGTACAGAGCGCAGAGGTGCGAGACAGTCCTGGAGGCCCCTCGGGTGTCACATGTTAACACCTCTGTTGTGTGAGTTGAATTGGTTGCCAGTTTGCTTCCGGGTCCAATTCAAGATGTCGTATCTTCAAAGCTCTTTATGGCAGTGGGTTCAAGTAAGAGGTGGTATTCAGCAGGTTCTGACCAGTTCTGGAGATCCAGTAGCGGAAATTTTGAGTAGTTTGGAGAACCGGCAAATACCACCTCTTGACTGGCCTCACTCCCATCTCTTCTCTGCCTCGCATTGAGTCTCAGCTGATTGGCTGGGTCTTCTTTGGTTGCCCTGCACAGGAGAACGGAGCTGGAAAGCAGGTTAGTGGGGTGGGGAGGGACCAGATTTTGCAGCATCCTTCCCTGCCACGCCCACCAAGACATGCCCACAGAACTGGTAGTAAACTTTTTTGAATCCCACCACTGGCAAAGTAATCTCGGGAGCCTTGTCACCCCAATGGGACCAGCCTGTCCTGCTCACATCAGCAGAAGAGACATACTTTGGATCTTGTCTGACAAAAGGATTTCAGCTGGTGGGGGTCCAGGAGAAGAGCCTTTTCCGCTGTGGCCCCCACCCTCTGGAATATTCCCTCTGCTGGAGTCAGGCCCATAATCCTGGCTTTCTGGAAGAGTCTGAAAACACGGATCTGCCAGCTGGTCTGGGGCTCCAACAGGAGAGGCACTTATGTTGGGGCCGGCTAACGGGCTGGAGAGATCCCCCCCCCCCCCGCAATGTTACCTGTCCTCATGGTTTTTCGCCTCTTAAAACCTTTAAACCCCCTAATTTTAACCGCTTTGTATCATCATTTGTAACTACTGGCCATGCTGCAAGCCGCCCAGAGTCACTTAACAGTGAGATAGGTGGCATAGAAATTTAATATATAAATAAATAAATTAAAAAAAATGTAACACCGGGATTCCAACTTCAACTTGTGATCCAGTAAAGACTGGGCTTTTGCTCCCCCCCCCCACTTGGTTCCTGCTGAACAAACCAATCTAAAAAGATCCACTCATGCTAAGTATACTGTGTTCGGTTTGTACTTTGGTTCTCCTCTTCCTTTAACCGAAAAGAATCGGAAGTCAGATTCTCTATTCCGTGCTTATAGAGAGAGGAGAAGCTTCTTTCCTTTTTAAGGTCTATGGAAATTCTCAACCACCCAGATTAGTTTTTCCAAGGGACTTTTTCGCCCCCCAAAAGGAGCCCTGGTGGCGCAGTGGTTAGAATGCAGCATTGCAGGTTGACTCTGCCCACTGCCAGCAATTCGATCCTGACTGGCTCAAGACTGACTCAGCCTTCCGTCCTTCCAAGGTCGGTAAAAGGAGGAGCCAGAGGTTGGAAGCAAAATGCTAACTCTCTAAACCGCTTAGAGAGGGCTGTAAAGCGGTATATAAGTGAAGCGGTATATAAGTCTAAGTGCTACTGCTACCTATAATCTATCATATCTTTCTCTGTCTTCTATCTACAATAGCTATTTATTGCTGTGTCTGTCTGTCTATCTAGCTATCCATCCACCCAGTCTGTCTATATTATCAGTCTGTCTATATTGTCTACATTCTGCCTGCCTACCTACCTACAATCCCTCTCTCTCTGTTTCTCAGTAACTCTGGTGGTGCAGCAGTTAAGAATGCTGTATTGCAGGCTAACTGTGCCGACTACCATCCTGACCGACTCAAGATTGACTTAGCATTCTGTCCTTTCGAGGACGGTAAAATGAGGACCCAGATGGTTGGGGGCAGGATGCTGACTCTGTAAGTTGCTTGGAGAAAGCTATAAATCCCTATGAAGCAGGATATAAGTCTAAGTGCTATTGCTAAAAGGCAACTGGGCTTTGTTTTCTCTGAAAACATTTCGCTTCTTATCCAACAAGCTTCTTCAGTTCTAACGCTTCTTAGGAGTCAGAATCTCAGTGGAAGCAACCGAACGGCTTGCCAGTCAAGCACGCTGCTCAGTCAGAATTGGAAAGAATTCAGGTTTTGTAGTCCACTGCTTTAATTTAGCTGTTTATATGGAATTGTTGTGTCTCGTACAAATGCTTGAGCTTCCTCTACACCAGACAGGATTAAGGAAAGCCTTGGAGAGGAACAGTATCTGCCAGAAAAATGAAGGCATTCATAGCCCAAAGAAACTGATTTCAGAAAAGAAACTTTTTTTCAGAAAGAAACTGATCCAGCTTAAAGGAAGAAACGGTTTAAGGCACTGTTCCCAACCTTGGGGACTTTTAAGATGTGAGGACTTCAACTCCCAGAATTCTAGGAGTTGAAGTCCTCATATCTTAGGTTGGGAAAAGACCGGTTTAAGGTGACATAGCTGCAACATAGCACAAGCCATCATGAGAGAGGTTGAAGTGAGGCAATCTTCATTACAATACCCCCACACCAGCTGTCATATAGTACCAATCCCTCCCCACAGGACGTGTCCTAACTCCTGTTTTTAAAAACCTTCAGAAAGGAGGAGGACGTACAGACATATAGGACCGGGTGCCCACGAAGGAATTGGCCATGGAGTCGATGAGCTGCCCGCTGACTCCAAAATCACACAGCTTAATCTCACCTCGAGAATTCACCAAGATGTTAGAAGGCTTCACATCTGTAAATTAAAAACTGTTTTGAGAGACGAAGAGGGGAGGAAAAAAAAAACACCAACACACAACAAAACACTGAAAAGGAACTCTACTTGGAGACTGTTCTAGATAAAAGCTCTATGGTTTCTCCCCCCTAATGAAGACAGGAAAGAACCCTGCAAGGGGTCAATTATCGTGCTAGACCATGCAACAACTTTGGATAGATCAGCATGGCTGGCTGGGGAATTCTGGGAGCTGAAGTCCACCTATCTTAAAGCTGCTAAGGTTAAAAAAACTCAGTTAGATGGCAAACAATTAATAAACTATTAATATTAATAAACCAGTAAATACAGGTAGTCCTCAACTTACTAACCATTTGTGTAGTGCCTGTTCAAAGTCACAACAGCACTGAAAAAGTTTCTTGGGGTCCTTTTTCACACTTACAACCATTGCCTCATATCCAGTCATATGATAGCAATGGAAACTTTGGGGTCAATTGTGGTCATAAATCAAGGACTACCTGTATTCTCAAGGGCTGTACTGTGGGTCCAATTAACCTGTGACTTTAGGCTGATTTCATGCCAGCCTAAATGATGTCCATCCCCTGGCAATTCTTCAGAAATCATCTTGCAATCCCTTTCCCCACTGTGTATGGTGCCCCCCCCCCCCCCCCCCCCCCAAAAAAAACTCTTCTGAGACTCGGAAAACTCACCACGGAAACGACCCGCCTGACCAAATTCTCCTTCCATTGCTGGGAAGCAAAATTTAAAGGCCTTAAAACTGCAAGTGATTAATTTTAGAATTAACTGTGAAGGGTTTTTCTTGGTGAACGAGAAAAATGTCCCTAGTTCTGACATGAACACAAAGGTGACAGAAGAGGCTGCCCTCAAGAGCAGCTGCCAGCAAGAAGCCGTGGTCTGTATAAGTGCTGTGCGATATAAAACACAATTTCCAGATTTTTGCAACCCCAACAAGGTTGCAAAAACCCATAAACCAGGCAGCGCACCATACAGCCACAAGATAGATAGATAGATAGATAGATAGATAGATAGATAGATAGATAGATATAGATGTAGATATTTAAAAAGTAATGTAATATAAGGCATTGGATAATTGCCTCCGCCCCTAGGTAATGCTCCTGGTTAAACCATGTGTAGAATTAAGCCTTGGAATGAGAAAGATGTCCAGCAGATCTACACAACCCCAGTTCACTTACATATGCAGACTCCTCCTCCTATTACAAGCAATGCTCACCTCGGTGCATGATTTGGTGCTTCTCTCGTAAATAAGCCAATCCTCGCAGAACCTAAAGGAGAGGAGAGGAAAAAGGGAAGGGAAAAAGGAAAGGAGAGAAAGGAAAGGGGAGAGAAGAGGGAGGGAGGAGAGGAGATAAAAATCAGGATTTGAGGGATGGAAGCCATCATGACTCCCATTTTATAAATGGGAAACTAAAAAATAAAGACTCATACAAGTGTGTGACAGAACAGAGGCTGGCCATCTCTGAAGGGGTAATTCGATGCCCAAATGCTTATAGGAGGATACATATGACACTCTGTATCTGGTAAAACCTTGTTTGGGGGAATTAAAAGGAGGCAGCTGCATACTCACTGCTATACTGACTTTGCCCAAAATTTCTTCAGGAATCCTCTTGGCTTCTTTCAAAACCTGATCCAGGGAACCGCCATCCTAAAACCAGTGGAAAGGTAATTATGCTTATTTATTAACTGGATGTTTATCCAGCCTTTATCACTTTATAAATAACTCAAGGTGGAGAATGTAAATACTCCTTCCTCCTCCTATTTTCCCTGCAGCAACCAATCTGTGAGGTGACTTGGGCTGAGAGAAAGGGACTGGCCCAAAGTCACCCAGTTATCTTTTGTGCTAAGGTGAAACTACAACTCATCACCTTCTAGTGATTGGCCCAAAGTCACCCAGCCAGGTTTCATGCCTAACGCAGTACTAGAACTCACTATTTTCTGCTTTCTTGCCTAAGGCGGCACTAATACCTCACCATCTTCTGGTGTCAAAGTCAGCCAGCCTGCTTTCAGGCTTAAGATGGGACTAGAATTCCCAGTCTCCTGGTTTCTAGGCCAGCAGCACCCTACATTATCTTAAATTTTAGAATTAGAAAACATCTCTCAACCAAATGAATAATAAGAAACCAGATTTAAGTAAAAAAAGGGCACAAAGAATATCTTAACGTCACTTGAAAAATACAAGGCATATAACATTTCAACAGCTTCCCTGAAATTAGACGAAGAAAGGACAGGTTACCCCCTCAAGGAGCGTCCTGCGAATGGGGCATTGCTAGAGAAGACACAACTCCACATGGCCTCAACCAAACCTCTTAATAACGAATTATATAGGAAAGTTGATTGACAGAGCCAAAGACGATTCTCAGCAGCTCTGGTTCACAGAGTCAGGAAGCAAAACGTTAAACACCCTTCATTGTCAACCATCCTCCATCTGCTTTAAACAGCTATAGTTCGGGAAGACTAACGAAGCAGATTCTCATTTTTTTAAAATCTATTTAATTATCAAATTTATCTAGCTACCCATCACACAAAAGTAAGGTTTTCCCGAAAATTCTGAGTATATTTTTGTAACTCGAAGGTACCTTCCTTCTTAACAGAATGTATTACACCTGGGTTCCTTGAAACAATATATGGCTTGGCTAAGGCACCTTATTCACTGGAGAAAGCAATGATGTTAGGAAGAGTTAGCGGTAAAAGGAAACCAGGCCTACGAAGAACACTGTGGCCTGGAAATCATCAAAGATGACATCAGCCAGAACATGGAAAAAATCAAAGCAGCAAGATCGGAACAGACCTGGTCTGTAGAAAGATGTTGAGACTCTAGAAAGAGTGCAGAGAAGAGCAACCAGGATGATTAGGGCACTGGAGACTAAAACATATGAAGAAGTTACAGGAACTGGGCCTGGCTAGTCTAGTAAAGAGAAGGACCAGGGGAGACAGGATAGGAGTCTTCCAATATTTGAGGGGCTGCCACAGAGAGGAGGAAGGGGCCCAGCTATTTTCTAAAGCGCCAGTAGGCCAGACAAGGAATGATGGATGGAAACTGAACAAGGAGAGATTCAACCTGGAAATAAGGAGAAACTTTCTGACAGGGAGAACAATCAACCCATGGAACAGAAGCCCTCAGAAGTTGTGGGAGCACCATCACTTGAGACTTTCAAGAAGAGACTGGACTGCCATCTGTCAGAAATGGTGTAGGGTCTCCTGCTTGGGCAGGAGGGGTTGGACTAGATGACCTACAAGATCCCTCCCAACTCTGGTTATGTGTTAAAACTGTTAGAATCACTAAGAATCAGATATGGCTGATCTGATATCATCATGGGTGGGATTCTACGGGTCTGGGCTGGTTCGGGCAAACGGGTAGCTCCGAAGATCAGCTGTGGGCGAATCAATTCTCTCCAACGATCAGCTGTTGGGCCTGCCCGCCCCATCTCTAGTCTGTGCTTTATCTCCAGGTTTTCCAGCTCAGCTGATTCGCGTGGCACAGCAGATTGCCGCGTGTCTGCCGTTTTACACACGGGGCTTGCAGCAGGTGAGTTGTAAACACTACGCACGGGCGAAGCATGCATTTGGCGCACGCATGCTCACCAAACTGGTTGTTAAACACAGTTGAATCCCACCCCTGGATATCATCATCATCATCATCATCATCATCATGACACTCCATAAACCTATGTAGCACATCTACTGTTCTTATACCACAGGAAGTTACAATCTTTGCAGAACACATGGAAAATATTCTGTCCTGAAAGGGCAGAGTGCTGTAACAAATCCCAACAGTGGCTTCTGTGCTGATGCCACTGCCAGGCTGAAAGGGGACCAGGGAGGCTCATGTTCGTGTCCTCACATGACCACCGGCCTCAGTAACTGTCAGCTGCGATCAATCTCACAGGACGGTTGCTAGGAGAGCAAAAGGGATGAGGGAGTATTACTTGCATCACCTTGACCTGCTGGGATGCAAGATGAATACACGAGCCACCAGGCTGAATTTAGCGAGGTGAAGAGAACGTTCAAGACCCGGTAGAAGACACGATGAAAGGAGATGCCTGCCCATCATATGTCTGGGACAAATTGGTTTAATCACAGAAAACCTCCTCCTCCAGCATTACTGAAGGGTTATCCCATTTTCATTATGTACATGCTGTGGAGGCTTTAATATGGCAATTCAAATGGTACAAAAGGTGGGATCCTTGTCATGAGTAGCTTAAAATGCAGCAAAAAAAGAGAAATGACAGAGGAGGGAGAAGTACGTGCTATTTCCCAACGCACCGGAAGGCCAAACAAGGAATAATGGATGGAAACTGATCAAGGAAAGATTCAATCTGGAAATAAGGAGAAATTTTCTGATAGGGAGAACCATCAACCCATGGAACAGAAGTTGCTTTTGGAAGTTGTGGGAGCTTCATCCGTGGAGGCTTTCAAGAAGAGACTGGACTGCCACCTGTCAGAAATGGTGTAGAGTCTCCTCATTGGGTGTGAGGCGGTTGGAATAGATGACCTACAAGGTTCCTTCCAACTCTGTTAATCTGACTACAAGAAACCATGGATGGAAGTTAATCAAGGAGAGAAGCAACCTGGAATTAAGGAGAAACAGTGAGGACAATTAACCAGTGGAACAGCTTGCCACCAGAAGTTGTGGGTGCTCCACCACTGGAGGCTTTTAAGAAGAGATTGGACTGCCATCTGTCGGAAATGGTGTAGGGTCTCCTGTTTGGGCAGGAGGGGTTGGACTAGATGACCCAACAAGGCCCCTTCCAACTCTGTTATTCTAAGGACAGTTAAAACAGGGAAATTCAATGCTTAGATGTGTTATACAGGTAGTCCCCTGACTTATGGTGAAAATTACATCAGATTCCTCCCCAAAGGTACTTACAACCTAATTCCAAAATCCAACAACCATCCCAGTCATGTGAACTGCATTCTGGGCACCTGGCAACCGACCCACATTTATGGACGTTTGTAGTGTCCTGCAGTCACATGATTGCAAGTAGCAACGTTTTTGTCAAAAAGAATCCTTCAGTTTTTGGCAAAAATGCCCTATAGTGGACAATTGGTTCACTTAACGACCAGAGAATTCACTTAACGACTCCTGCGAAAACAAAAAGGTGATAAAAATCAGGTTGATCACATGGGTAACCTGTTTTACAACTATCACGATTTATTGATTTTTTTCACCTTTTTGAACTGCCGGTCTCCCTCAGAAAGCGACTCTTGAGTGACATACAATGAAATGCTAACTATATGGACTTGTGACCGTAATCGGCAGGCTCCGTTAAGTTGAGAACTGCCTCTAGGTGCCAGTTGGGCTGAGCAGTTAAGAGGCATCGGGCTACAAAATGAGGCAAGTCTTGCTTTAGTCATGAAAATCAACTGGCTGACTTTGGGCCCTCTCTCCCAGCCCAATCCACCTCACAGGATTATTGTTGTGGGGAAAATAGGAGGAGGAAGATGAATGTTTCTGCCACTTTGAGCTATTTGAAAAAATAACAACGGAGGTATACATAAATAATGATGGACAAGAAGTGAAACGTCTTCAAAGAAAAACCAGAAAGTCCAGTCACCTCTTGAACAAAGCACCTTTGGGGACAACCATGACCTGGATGATTGAGAATCTCCATAGACATATAAACAAATAAATACATTTGCCATCAGGCCTCCTTTTATATAGCATTATCGAAGGGCAGCTTTTAATCCCCCCCCTCAACGTTTACCATAAAAGGTCAGTTCTTCCCACTCCTTTTGTTGTGGAAAATGCTCTGCAATCATTTACTTTTTTCCAAGCCGTAGAAATATGGACGTGATTGTCAAGAGGCAAAATCCATACCCAGAGCCAACAGTTCAGACAGTCAGGATTTGAGCACCTGCTTCCAGGAGAGGAACTAAAGAGGCACCCTGGAAAGATATCCCACGGAAGTGGCTCTTGAGACACGGGAAGAGTCATTTCTGGGCCTCTTGAAGAAGCTGGCAAGGCTGCCCTACAATTGTCGTAATGTGCTGAAGTGGCTTTGCTTTTGAAAAGATAAAACTCCAGGGGACTCTGCCAGTTTTAGAATTAAGTCAACAGATGGCAGCATCAACTTTGTGCTACAAGCAAGGAGACGACATTTTCCCCGGTGACTGATTCCATGCTCAAGAGAGACCGGCCTTGCCCAGAAGTCAAATTCAGATCAACCTCTATCCTATGAAACAGACATTTAACATATTTCTCAAAATCGCTAGTCAAGACAGCGATCCAGACAGATTAATAGAAATTACCGCAGGTAGTCCTTGGCTTAGGGCCACAATTGAGCCCAAAATTTCTCTTGCTAAGACAGTCGAGGTTTGTCCCATTTTAATGACCCTACTTGCCACGGTCATGAAGTGAATCACTGTGTCAACCCTGAAGCTGACCTGACTGAAGCCATTTTGTCGCTTCAGTATTGCCACACAGGAGCCGAGGGCTAGAGAGGTAGGAATAAAGATTTGTAGCCAAAACAAAACACTTTCTCTTGGGAACCAAGGACATTTGCACACCTGGTCGGAGAGAGGAAGAGTGATGTTACCCAGCAACCGGGCAGCACCTCGATTGGACCATGTGACTGATTGTTTGGGGAAAGGGAAAAATGTTTACTTTTAATAAGATGAAAACCGACTCTGAAGGTTCCCACGTAAGGTTTTCACCTAATCAAAAGTAAAAGTTTTTTCTCTTTCCACAAACATATATCATATTGGCACAGACTTGGTGAAAACCGACTCTGAAGTTTCCCTCGGTTTTCACCAGGTCTGTGCCAATATGATATATCCAATAAGGCAATATTCTTTTGAAGAATCTACCTGCCTGGGAGTTTTGTTTGCTATGGGTACGTCACTTGGAACCCTGACACGCTGCCGTCGTGAAGTGAATCTGGCTTCCCCGTGGACGCTTGCTTGCCAGAAAGGCGATCCCATGACCTGTGCAACAGTCACAAACAGGAACCCGTTGCCAAGGGTCTGAATTTCGATCACGGGGTTGCTGCAATGGTCGTTAAGAGTGAAAAACATTTTTTTTCAATGCTATTGTAACTTTCTTTGAAAGGTCACTAAATGAGTGGTTGTATGTTGAGGACTACCTGTACAGCTGTGATGAACAGCTGTGGCAAGAAAAGACGTAAAGTGGGGCAAGCTCACTTCACAAATACCTCTCTTAACAACCGAAACTTTGGGCTCAGTTGTGGTCGTAAGTCGAGGACTAAATGTACTACTTCATGTGCCTTTTCCTGTTATAATATTCAGTTTGCCTGGCACCCAGGTGATTGTCCAATGGCAGAAAGCTGACGTCTTCCAAGCTTGGAGAACAAGAGAAATGTAGAGGCTGTACCGCTGCAGATTCTTTTTAAGGCACTGACCCTAGGCGACTGTGAGTTATAGTCCTTTGGCATGAAAAACCAGCTGGGTGACCTTGAGCCAGTCCCTCTCTCTCAGCCCAACCCACCTCACAGGGTTGTTGATGTGGGAACACAGAAGGTATGTTTGCTGCCTTGAGTTATTCATAAATAATAATAAAGGTGGGATCAAAATCAAATTGAATCTATCAATCTCCTCCTCATCACCCATCCCCTCCCACTATCCTAACAATTTATATTGACTGTTTCCTAGTATGATTTGATCGCTTATTGCACATTATGACTATTATTAACTGTTGTACCTTACGATTCTTGACTCTTGACGAATGTATCTTTTCTTTTATGTACACTGAGAGCATTTGCACCAAGACAAATTCCTTGTGTGTCCAATCTTGGCCAATAAAAGAATTCTAATTCTAAATCTAAATACATAAATACACATTTTAAGGGAATAAATATCATCTTGGCTGGGATTTCCACTGGCTACTAATATTTCCCAAAGTAGGAAACAATTTGATCTCTTATCAGGATTAAATATGGGAAGGTTAAGTAAAATATAGTATCAGTTCATAGTCTGCTTGCTTTTATGTTATATCTGGAGTGGATTTTTGGCTTGTTCTTCTGATAAGCCAGTATCTGAAGCAATCTGGTAGCAAAAATCAGGAAGATTAGCCAATAATCCCAATAAATCAAGAATTCTCCTCATACTGTGGAAAAAAGGTGGATCGTTATTGGTAATAGAGACCTGCAATCGATGCCACAAAAAGCAGAAAAGAAAAATTTAGAATACTGCAGGTAGTCATCTACTTACAACAGTTCATTTAATGACCGTTCAAAGTTAGAAAGTCACTGAAAAAGTGACTTATGACCGTTTTTCACACTAATGGCCACCGCAGCATTCCCGTGGTCACGTGATCAAAATTCAGGTGCTTGGCAACCGAGTTGCATTTTTATGACGGTTGCAGCGCCCCTGGGGAATCACGTGATCCCCTATTGTGACTTTCTGATAAGCAAAGCCAATGGGGAAACCAGTTTCACGGAACTACTAATTTACTAACGGCTGTGACTCACTTAGCAACAGCAGCAAGAAAAAAGTGGTAAAATGGGGCAAAATTCACTGAACAAATGTTTGGCCTAGCAAGGGAAATTCAGGGCTCAGTTGGGGCCACAAGTGGATTGACTACCCGTCACTGACGCTTTGGTAAGCTCCCTTCAAGCCTTTGATGCTGAATCAGTCCTGTTCTGCACAGGGAATATGCCCTCACCATATGCTCCATGCAAATGCTGATCTCCCCATCGCTGTAGAAGGCGCCATAGAAACCGACGATGTATGGAGAATTGCACTCGTGAAGCACTTGGAGCTCCCGGATGATCTGGTTTCGTATGGCAGGCTTGATCTCCAAGTGAATCAGCTGTGGAGGGAATGAGAGAGAAAGACACACACATCAAAGGATGGAGACAGTGCAGAACAGCTCCAGAAACAATTGTGCCCGTCTTAGGCATGGTAGGGAGGACTGGTATATAACTCACAGTCGCCTAGTTCCTAGACCAGCACTGGTACAGCCTCTTCACATCTCAGCCTCCCAGATATATATGGACTAGATCAGAGGTGGTATTCAGCAGGTTCTGACCAGTTCTGGAGAACCAGTAGCAGAAATTTTCAGTAGTTCGGAGAACCGGCAAATCCCGCCTCTGACTGGCCCCGCCCCCATCTATTCTCCGCCTCCCATTGAGTCCCAGCTGATCAGCTGGGTCTTCTTTGGATGCCCTGCACAGGAGAACGGAGCTGGAAAGCAGGTTAGTGGGGGTGAGGAGGGAATGGGGATTTTGCAGCATCCTCCCCCTGCCATGGCCACCAAGCCACACCACACCCACCAAGCTACGCCCACAGAACCGGTCGTAAAAAAAATTTGAATCTCACCACTGGGATTTAATCAGACAAAAGCTTAACTCAGTTGGGAATCAGTTTAACAGTAAATAACCCAGTTGGGAATTCTGGTATCCTTTGGGAAAACTTTCTCAAACCTTACCATTCCAACTTGAAAGTATTTTATGTTTTTAATTTATAGCATTATGGGGCAGTAGCTTAAACATGAAACTATTTTACTTGTGCTAAATTGTTTCATTTTTAATTATTATTCTTCCAGGCCACTGAAGGTACATTAACCAATAAACAGCAGACACAGGTTCTACCCTTATTACTCATAGGGGGAAACGGCTGGATGTGACTCAGTCAAGCCCGTACGTCTTTCCTGGAGGGGTAAAAAAATCACTGCTGTTTTAAAATGCTTTGCTAACAGAAATTAAAAGTTGTAATGTAATGCTGTTAATATAATGGCATGTTCTGCTTTCTTTTAAAAGGCCGAATCTGAAGATGTGCCACAGATAGTTTGTCATTTGAGATTTCACAGTGGGTAAAGATAACGGTGTCCCTGCGGGTTTTACTCCGCTGGTCTCTTTTTCTAGGCCACTGAGAGCCAGTGCTGTCTGAAAATGTTTCTGTGGTCATGTAGCCAGTTTGACACCACAGCACAGAGCATGCAGCAAAATACGGAGCACTGTTGCCTTCCCAGCGAAGTGGTACCTATTTATCTACTCACATTTACACACTTTCAAACTGCTAGGTGAACAAGAGCTGAGGCAAGTGACGGGAGCTCACTCCATCCCACGGTGGTAGGACTCGAACCGCCAGAGCACAGAGCTTCTCCGGCATCTTTTAAGCCACTGAGCCACCATGCCTCTAGACACTGGGAAGAGTCCTAAATTAGCTTGATGAGCGCAGTTTATTATGAAATAGTCCCATGCAAATAAACCAGTATTAGAAGACTCAATTGCTACTGACAAAATACTGTTATTAGTCATTAGTCACTACAAACCTTTCTTAAATTAATCAACAGCCTTGATTATTAGACTATTAATACATTTTGAAAGGGAATAGACTGCTTATGACTCATTGGGCCATCCTTTTATAAATATTCATTTAACTAAAGAGATCAACAGAATGACTCAGGGCAAGCAAAAAAAACAAGAGAAGAGAACAATCTCTGACTTTCTGCTGGCTTCCCCACTGACTGTGAGAAGTTGGCAGGAAGCACTGGAGAACACAATCACGTGAATGCAGTTGAGCAAGGTGGCACTGCAGTGGCAACAAGTTTGTGAGTATAACTAATCTGGAGATCCTTGAAATTTCAATTCCACAGAAGTCACGAGTCTCACATTCTTTGTACACATTCTTTAAGTTAGTACATTTGAGGTACATTGATTCAAAAATTGTTGTCATATCATGCACCGTTTTGGCTAATTGAAGGTTACAAACAGACAAAAGCGTTTGAATGGTGTATAGATGACAGCCAGACAAAGTATGGATAGACTGCAAGATTTGGCATTCTCTATTTGCACAAGAAAAAGCAGCTTCTGATTTTACTATAGATTAGGCTTATTTAAATCTTTACTGGGATTCCAAAACACTGATACTGATTCAATGTTTCATTTTGCATTTCTCCAGCTTGCTTAAAGATTTTTTTTTAAATCTTCCATTTTTTTAATATTATGGAATTCAAAAGATCAGACTAAAATAAGCCCTTAGAATTTGACTGTTTCCTGCAAGTCATTTTTGCAACTGAGAAACACATTTTGCAATTTAAACATAATTTAATGTTCTGGTGACCATCTGGGCAATTTCTATTAATTATAAGAAACATATTTCCTTATAACTTATATTTTCATTTTTTTTAATCCATTGTATTTGAGCCATTGTCCATACATCGAGGCAGGTCACCCAACAGTGCAATAAATCATTTTTTTAAAAAAAAAACTTTAAAATCCTAGAAACAGGAATATGTGTAATGATAAAAAGACGCAAGTTTTGAAATAGGGTTTTGCAATACACAATTCATTCACGTAAGAGACCAGGTTGTATTGTGTTATGATTGCACAGTCAGCCCCGAGATGAGCTTCTGGCCTTTTAAAAGCTATTGGCAGACACCCTTGCTCGATAACTGAGAGCTATGGGACTGCAATTATAGCTCTACATTTGCTAATGATTCTGCATCCAGGAAGGCATGCGGTATAACCTACTTAGCAGTGCAAAAAGAAAAAGAAAAAAAGAAAAAAGCAGCAGCAGAAGAAAAGTGGGAAGAAAGCAGTCACCATAGGAACGCTTGCACGGCTCAGGAATGGAACACCGAAACCAATTTATGGGAGATGGTTCACAGAAGAGTTGAAGCCTTATATTGCGCAAATGTTCTTTCCGTACCAGATGTATAATTTTGCAAAGGAGAGCAAACCCATCACCCGCCCAACCTGCTAGCGTTATCTTCCATAGGAATAAGGCACAAGATATCCACCCTTTGTTATTGATGTCGTTGTTCAATCACTATGGCGTGTCTGACTCTTTGCGATCCCATGGGGCACAGCACACCAGGTTCCTCTGCCCTCCATCGTCTCCTGGACTCTGCCCAAATTCATGTTCATTGGGTCAATGATACTAACCATCTCATCCTCTGTGGTCCCCCTCTTCTACTTTTGCATTCGGTCTTTCCCAACACTGTCCCAAAGATGCTTTTACAAAAGGCAATTTTTGTTTTTTCTTTGAAGACATTTCGCTTCTCCTTCAAGAAGCTTCTTCAGCTTCTGGGATAAGAAGCAAAATGTCTTCAGAGAAAACCCAGAAAGTCCAGTTGCCTCTTGAAAAAGCACCTTTGGGACAGCCATGACCTGGAGGACGGAGAATCTCCACAGACAAAGTATTTGAGCTTCAGCTTCCAAAGAACAGTCAGGGTTGATTTCCTTTAAGACTGACTGACTGGATCTCCTCGCAGTCCAAAGGGCTCTCAAGAATCTTCTCCAGCACCACAATTCAAAAGCGTCAATTCTTTGGCGCTCAACCTTCCTTATGGTCCAACTCTCACAGCCATCATTACTACTGACCATAGCTTTGACTACACAGTAATATCCATCCCACCAATCATCAAACTTTCTCTTCTTTCTAAACTTTCTAAAGCAGAAGATAGAAGCGCCAAAATTTAAAAAAAAGAGGCTGCTAGGCCCCTATTAGTGCTCCTTCCTGTCTTTTTCTCTTTGATATTTCTTCTCGCTCACACGAGAACAGGTCACATAAGCCAAATCAGAAAACCATGGCCAAAATTAGAGATGAATTTCAGCTTCTCTTATCACAGTGCTTCAGAGACAAGAGAAGTCCATCTAAATGCTTCCCATCATCTCAAAGAAGAGGCATCTATTATTTTTTTACAATTATGGGTGGGACATGGACTGAAAGCGACTACTGGCAGTCCTCCACTCACAACCACAACTGGGACCAGAATTTGAGGTGCGAATAAAGGTGAATTACGCCTGATTTGACAACTTATGTGCCACAATTGTTAAATGAATCACGGTAATTGTTAAGTGAATCATGTGGTCATTAAGCAAACTTGAAGACTTTTCCGATCACATGACCCAAGATGTTGCAACTGTTGTAAACCCATCCCAGTTGCCAAGCATCCAAATTTTGATCAGGTGACTATGAGGATGCTGCGATGGTCATAAGCGTGAGAACTAATTGTTTTTTAAATTGCCATTCTAATTTTCCTTGGTCACTAAATGAATGTTTGTAAGTTGAGAAATACCTGTAGTTAGAAGCCAAAGGAATTTCACATTTGCCTTTGTTTAAAGTAGGCATCAATACAGTATCAGTAAGAATGGAATCTTGTGCCAAAAAAGATTATTTAAATAAATTTACACAGCTGCCCATCTCAGGTTAGTGACTCTAGGCAGCGTACAAATATTAAAACCAGCAATTAAAAATAATACATGACACCTTAATCATAGGGCCACATCATCAGTAAGGCTCGCCTAGCCTCCTGACCCAAATTCCCGTGGAAATAGTCAGATCTTCAGAGTTTTATGAAAGGCTAGCAGGGTCAGATCCAGATAACTGGGAAGTGATGGCTGATTGTGAAAAGCTAAATGGGATTGAACCTGGGCGGGGAACTGCCAGGATATGTCAGAATAGCAGAAAAGATTAGTAAAGGGGGGGAAAAAAGACACTGTAAAGTTGCCAAGAAAGCCACAACAACCTTTCGTCATCAAATGAAGTCGTCTCTAGTAAAGGGTGAAGCAAATCCTTAAATAAAATTCTGTAGATACGAGGAGAAATCTAGGGAACTAGAACTATTGTCTAGGACAGTCCAGGAAATTGGATTTAAAACAAGGACCTCACATTCGTAGTGATGAGGCTCTAAGTGTTGCAATATTTTAATACAACACTTAACAGCAGTTCATTTAGTGACCGTTTTGAAGTTACAACGGCACTGGGGAAAAAAGTAACTTAGGTCCATTTGTCACACTTACGACCTTTGTAACATTCCCATGATCATGCAATCAAAATTCAGGTGCTTGGCAACTGACTCAAACTTGTGAACGCTGCTTTGTCCCAAGGTCATGGGATCACCTTTTGTGACCTTTGACAAAAAAAAATCAGTGGGGAAACTAGATTCACTTAACAACCATGTCACTAACTTATCAACCCCGCAGGGGTCATGTGAGCCCCTTTTGCTGACAAGCAAAGTCCATGGGGAAGCCAGATTCACTTAACTGTGTTATCAATTTAACAAGTGCAGTGATTCACTTAACAACTGTGGCAAGAAAGGTCGTAAAATGGAGCAAAACTCACTTCACAAATGTCTCACTTCACAACAGAAATGTTGGGCCCATTTGTGGTCCTAAGTCAAGGACTACCTGTATTGATGCACTTCATTAATCAGGAGTCAAGTTCCAGATTACAGGTAGTCCTCAACTTACAATCATTCGTTTAGTGACTGTTCGAAGTTACAATGGAACTGAAAAAAGTGACTTATGACCATTTCCCACAGTTACAACCATTGCAGCATCAATGATATCACTCTGGAGAATTTGCACAGAACCTCTCCTTCTAACTTCTCACAACTTGCTTAAAGACCTGGTTGTTCCTCTTTTCCTTTGGCATGATTGGGGTTAAGCCCCTTTGGATGGTTGTTGGGTGCTTGGCTTTTTTTCAGTTTTGGGTTTCCAGTCATGCATCTTTGCAAGGTTTTTTTTTTTTTTTTTTTGAGATTGGCTGCCCTATATGAAAACTGTCAGAGAGCCTAAAAATACCGTGTTTCCCCAAAATAAAACCCTATCTTATAATTTTTTTGCCACCGAAAAAGGCACCAGGTCTTATTTTCAGGGGAAGTTATCCACTGACTAACCTCACTTGCACGTGTCATCCCAAGCTTCTTTTTCGTGGTCAGAGACCTTTAGGAACTACTCCTGCAGCCGGCAAAGCTTTCCTGAAGGCCTTTGCAGCCAATAACAGACCTCTGGATCAATCCAGCTACACAGTCCTTCAGGAAAGCCTTGCCAGCCTTGCTGGCTGCAGAAGAAATGGGCCAGCAAGGCAGGTATTGGGGTGTGCCAGGCCTGGCTTCAACTGTCCAAAGGTAAGTAGTAGGGTAGCTCCACACACACCCCATCCCCACCCTAGCTTAATTTTTACCCTTGCACTCTGGAGTGGGTGGGATCTTAATTAGGGCTTATTTTGGGGGGGGGGAGGGCTTACATTGGCACACGTGTAAAAATCAAGCTAGGACTTACTTTCAAGGTAGGTTGTATTTTCGGGGAAACAGGGTAGTTCTTGACCTATGACAGTTCAGCAACTGTTCAAAGCTACAAAAATCACTGAATTAGTCCTTGGGGGTTCTAACTGCCCCAGCATTCCTGCAGTTTCAAGTTTGCTATCCGGATGCCTGGCAACTGGTTTGCACTAGCCACTGGTCACAACCGCCCCATGGTCACATGATCACCATTCCCCCAAGAGAGGAAATGGGAAAGCCAGTAGGAAACATTGCAAGTTGCGGGGGTAGGTCTCCATTCACACACATAACCCACCCACCCCAGGCTGCTCTGTGCTTATTCTGTGCTGGTCAACTCTCACTGGGTCTCCCTTATCTGCTCCCAGTCCCATGCATGCCTGGAATTTGCAACTTCCTGCTAGCTTTCCCCCTAACTTTGTGAGAAGCCAGCAGGAAGTTGCCTCTTCTAACAACTGTGAGATTTAGTTAATGAGATCACCTGGGATGGCTTTAGAACCACACTGCTTAGTAATGGAAATTCCAGCCCCAATTGCCATATACTGCACATTTTTTGAAAGCTCAACTCAAAAGTTGCAATTTGCAGTCCTATCACTTGATCAGTTTATTGCTCTGATTGTGTCCCTTCTTCAAGCCCATGCTCTGAAAATGAGTGATCCTTTTCTCCCCCTTACCCGGTCTCACCTTCCGTGCCATAATTAGCCCTGAGGGTTTATGTTGTACTTTGGTGACCACCCCACCATTGCCAGCTCCCAGTTCTGAAATCCTCTTGAAATCATCATCTTTCAGTTCTCCCACTTTGGCCTTCTGGGTGAGAAAAGCTTCCAGCCGTTTCTTCTGCTGCTCATCCAGCTCCAGTTCTTCCAGTTTTTTCTGGAGGTCAACAAGGTGTGCTCTAAAGGAAAAGAAGGTGAGAGGCATCAGATCTACGTAATACGCCACTGTATGCAACGGAGTGAGGCAGCATGGTCATTCCTACTATTTGCTGGTGAAGCCCAAAGGCTGTTAGAATGATTTGTAGGAAAATCACCTGGCTGGCACAATTTCCCAAATTTATATACAGGTAGACCATAATTGAGCCAGAATTTCTGTTGCTAACTGAGGAATTTGTTAAGTGAGTTTTGTCCCATTTTACGACCTTTCTTGCCATTGTTAAGGGAATCATTCAGTGAAGTTAGTAACACGGTCGTAAAGTGAATCTGGCTTCCCCATTGTTTTTTCTTGTCAGAAGGTCGCAAAAGGGGATCACATGACCCCGGGATACTGCAACCGTCATAAATGTGAGTCAATTGTCAAGCATCTGAATGTAAATCACATGATCATGGGGATGCTGCAGCAGTCATAAGTGTGAAAAATGGTCTTAAAGTCACTTTTTTCAGTGCCGTTGTATCTTCAAACAGTCACTAAGCGAACTGTTGTAAAATTGGTACTACTTGTGCAGGTAGTTCTGGATTTACAACCATTAAGTGACTGTTTTTCACACTTATGACTGGTGCAGCATCCCCATGATCAGAATTCAGAAGCTTGGCAACTGACTCATATTTATGACAGTTAGTGTCCCGTGGTCACGTGATCCTCTCTTGTGATTTTCTGACAAGCAACGTCTATGGGGAGGCCAGATTCACTTTACAATCGTGTTACTAATTTAACAAGTGAATTATTCCCTTAACAATGGTGGCAAGAAAGGTCATAAAATGAGGCAAAACTCAACTTCCGGTTTGAGCTTCTTCAGCGACAGACCGAAACCTTGTCTCTGCGAGGCTTCGATCCGTGCTCGCCGCTGGAGCGCCTCGAGCCGGCTGGTTTCGGGGCTAAGCCACCCCATAGAGGTGGTGAAGAGGGGGGAGACTGCCTGCAGGGTTGAGGAGAGCCGCATCTCTCCTCCCCAGCTGGCCATTACTCCCTTTCCCGAAGGCGGTTGTAGCGGTGGTCAGAAATGGCCACCACAAAGAAGAACTCAACCAGAAAAGAATGTGCAGGAGGAAGATAAGAAGAGAAAATTTTGGTTGACCGGGTCAAACAGCAAAAGCAACAAATAAGGTACCCTGGAATTTAAACTTAACAACATTGTTCCCAAAGAAGATTTTGAAGCTGCGAAGGAGAGAGAAAAGGGAAAAGATTTGGTTTTCTCCTTTTCCTATACTGACAGCTAAGAGACTTAAGCAAGAAATTGGAAAAAAAATCCACTTTGACATCAATAGGCATTTAATGCTGAACACAAAAAGTCAAAGGGATAATAAAGATTTCTGGATAATTAAAAGCTTTTGAAAACAGGAAAGGAGAGGGGAAGAATAAAAGGGCACGATCTGGAAGAGAGGAGACTGCCTGGAATTAAAAAAGAACTTACAGCAAAATCTCAACAAGACTTCCAAAAGATACATTCTAACTGATATATCACAACAAAAACCCCAGGAAGAGAAAATCGAAAAAGAAATAAGAAGATATAAGTCGGGACTATCTGGATTACTTGATGATTTCTGGATTCTTGGTTATTGTTTTGAATGACTAAAATCAATCGGGTGGTTGTTTAAAACTTTTTAAAATGGCTCCACTTTTAGAAGAACTGAAAATGGAACTTAAAAAGTACAAAGAAGATGCACAAGAAGGGAGAGGTTCTTTTGGCTTTGTATTTCAGTTTTTGGAAATGGAGATTTGGAATTATGAGAAACAACAAGAAATGCCTGCAGAACAAGAAGATTGTGACAAAGAAGAAGCCATCTTTAATGAACAAATAATCTTAGATGGGGGAAAGAAAGGAACAGGGAGAAAGAGAATGGAAAGTTTAAGATTGGGAAAAACAACTCCAAAAAAAAAAAAATAGAGTGAAAAATATGTATAAAATCAGAAAGCAACAGAAGAGGGAAATGCAGAAGAGAGAATTAGAACTAGAGAGACAAGGGGAGGGAGAAGATGAGAGGGAAGAAAGAAAGGAAAAGAAGTTATAAAGGACAGAAGCAAAATATAGAGAAACAGGGTCTATTTAGAGATAATGGGTGAAAACTTAATGGAAAAAGGGATTCTGCAAAGGTACATAAGATAGTATGGTTATATTAGAAGCAGAAATAATTTTAGAAAATATGAAACAATGTATGATTAAAATGTCTGATAAAATAGCTATCGTAATTCAGTGGAATGCTTGTCAATAAATAAACGTAACAAAAGGTATATTTAATGATTTATAAAACATATGTGGAGAAATAAGGGAAAAATTAATTATGGAGATTATATGTGTTTTTAAGGAAGTATGATATTTAATTGAAAAGAAGTGTTAAATATGTTGTGGTTTTAATGATTATTAATGATAGAACTGAACTGGAATGGAATGAGGGTTTATAATTACATATATTTACAATCTTTCTTTTTTAAAAAAATAATATAGTATTATAAGAATGTCCCAAGCAGAATTCGATTGGAAGTTATGTATTATGTATTATATTGAAGGTCATAAACTTAAGGTATATATTGAAGTTTAAATAAGAGTTGAATGGATGTAATTAAAAGATATAAAGGTGTCATAGTCCAATTAGTAACTACATGAGAAAATTTGTTTAATGAGAAAAGATAATATGAAATTGAAACAGAACAGACAAAAGTATAAATATAATGATTTGAATTGAGATGAGATAATCAAAATAAAATTGAGAAAATTAAAAGAGGGGAAAAACTATATAGAAAATGTAAAATAGTATAAGATATGGAATAGAATACAAAAAGGAGCATGAAATTGAGTTTTGTGTCTGTATAAAGTTCAACCCGGGACCATGCTATTTTCAAAAAAAGATGTTTTACTTGTATTTTGTGTGTGAAAACCCAAATAAAACTTTATTTTTAAAAAAATGAGGCAAAACTCACTTAGCAACTATCTCGCTTAGCACTGGAAATTTTGGACTCAATTGTGGTTTTAAGTCGAGATCTACCTCGACTTAAAGTATTAAACAGTACTGAAGACTGTTCAGTATTTTCTTAGTTCTCTGCCAGGCTGGGTTCTAATATTCAGTGTTGGCTACAAGGAATGCCGATTTTCTCAATCTAAACAAGAAATTGTCCAAGCAGACTAAACAAAATATGGATAGGGCTTTCCAATATATATTCTGTTTTATTTTTTTTATTCTATTTGAATTTTTTAATGTACTGTACATTGGGATTATTTTCCTTTTTTTTGTCTTGATGCGTTTAACAATCCCCTTCCGTTATTCTAAATGCCTCAATCTTGCCTATTTCATCTGATTGTAGCTTCTTCCAAATCCCCTTTCGTTCAAGACGATTTCATGCCCTTTTTTCACTCACACAACAATTTACTAAACAAACTCCTCGGCTTTTTCTCTCCCTGCTGCTAACCCATACACATGCCATTCCACCTCTACACTTTGCTTCCATTTAGCAACATGCTATTTGCGGATGTAATTGTGAATTACAGCACCCTACACTGTGGCATTTACAAGATTACGGATGGCAGTTTAAATTCACTGAGCTTCAAACTCAGTTAAGCAGTAATGAGGGAAGGATTAACATTATTATTCATTTTTTTAAACTGTTGTAATCTGCACAATGTGTTTTTTATTTACGCAGACTTTAAAATCTGTATATAAAGAGAATGTCACACTTCACAGGGATACAACTAAAAACCTCCAGTTTCTGGACACGTAACCCTTTATTCAGGGACTCACTTACTCAACAGAAGACTCACAGACAAACCTTGACCAAATAAATCTCTTTGATGCAGGCAAGAACGAAGTCTAATATGCACAGAATGTTTGAGTACAGGTATCAAAAACCTCTATAGGTCTATGTCCCTCTCATTTATTTTCCTCACACATTTCCATGTCAGTGGTTATTTGAGGAATCTCCTATTGACCCAAGAAGACACCTAAATTATGTTAACATGAAGGTTCTCTTCAACATGGGAACCACTGGGTTAAGCTTTATTCCTGAAACCAAAATGTCTTAATATTAAACCTCTCCAAGTCTCAGGCTATAAATAATTAGGAGGTCCTTCTTTGCAATGCAATGGAATCTTTATTATCCCAGCTCAGTGCAAGTTTTACATTTACCGTATCTGCAATTCTATGCATATTTATTCAAAATAAATCGAGCAGAATTTAGAGATACTATTTTTAATAGGAATCCATTGACTTATCATCTTAAAAAAAACATTTTTTTATTTTAAAAGACAGGGGACAGTCCATTTGGATAAAGGGAAAATATCCCTTAGGAAAAAGAAAAAAACTGAAAGCAGCTTTTTTTTAAAGAAAAAAAAATGAAAGAATAGAAGATAGACAGTAAATTCTGTATCCTGGTGTTTCCCAGATCCCAGCTCTTAGGTTCCAGAAACCCTTCTCTTCCCATTTAGAATATATCCTGTTTAAAGTCCATAAGTATTTTTTTATAAAAGACTGGAAACCTTTTACAGATGTTTTGCTGAAAATGGACACAAATAAACTGGAGATTTTGGAGTTTGCTAGTTAAAAGGGGTTAAATATGTATAAGAAGGAGAGATAGCAAAGGGTGGGAGAAGATAAAAATTTGTAACTGTTGTAATGAAGATTGGAAGTGGCTTTAAATTTTCTTCTCTTCTGTTTCTTTCTCTTCTACATTCTCCACTTTTTATAATTTGTTCTTGGTTATCTTTTAATTAGGTAAAATCTTTCAACAAAAATGATAAAAGTATCTAAAGCGGGGCAGTTTTCCTTGGGCATTGTTTCTCCTGCTTTTCTTTTTTCTAGTTCTGATTCCTCTTTCACACACAATTCTCTTTACATTTTATTCACACACCTTCAGTGAAGTCTTTGAACACTACCCTTTCTTTGATCTGAATCCCAGTGCTTATAGCAGTTCTTTTGCTATAATATTCTGCATTACAAATATGTACATGTACATTCCTGATCCATTTACACA